AGCATCCCTGATGCATCCCCCTCCATCTAACAGGTCAAGGTCCCCCAGAGTACTTGCACTTTGCCATGATAGCACTTTCCGCAATTGTAGTTAAACCACTGTGTATTCAGCTATCTAACAACCATCTCCTTAGTAGCACTTTCCACAGTGGCAGCTACAGTTTTGTACTTAGTTGTGTGACAGCCATCTGCCTCAGTGTGAACCCAGGGAAGGCAGTGTTGACCTCTGTCTGTCCTGTTCACTGCTATATCCCTAGGAACTGAAACAGAGACTGCCACCTGACAGATCCTCTCATTAGCCAAACTGTCTTCAGTTTCTTCTGAGCTCTTTTTCAGCTATGCCTGTTGATCTTTCATGTTCATCTCTGCATAGTCCAATTTTAGCAAGAATCCCATAAAGCCAGTTTAGCCATCCTCGATACCTGATCACCCTAGATAATCAGGTTCCTCATCGCCCACCATCCCCCAGATGATGTCTGATCACTCTGGCCTACCTTCAGCAAGAATCCAGTTAGGCCCATTTAGCCAGAATCCCCCTAACAGCCCTAAGATGTTGCCTCTTAGTGCCCATAAGAGGATCACTGGTCACCAAGGCTTCTTCAGTCTTAAATCTCCACTTGCCCACAAGCAGGACTGCTGTCAATTAGCACACTGCCAATTTTCCTACTTCTCCCCCTATCACTCCTACCTATGTTCATGTGGCTCTGCCTAGAGTACCTCTTCCCAGGCAATTCACACCTTCTGCTTCCTTAAGGGGCCCCCCCAAGAAGCTTTCCTGCAAAACCTCCCACCACAGACCACTGTCCTGGTTGCCATTTAGGCATGGAGTGACTCTGCAGAGGGCCTCGGAGAACTCACCATCCTCATTTTGCAGATAGGGCCCGAAACAGACCTGGGCCAGAAAGGTGACCTGCTGAAGGTCACATGCCTGATTGTGGCCAAGCTAAAACTAAAATCCAGTTCAGTCCCCTCTGACCAGGCTATGCTTTAAACCTTTCACCTTATCTCTTTGATTATAGGTTTGTTTTGCCTCCGGACTAAACAAGAAATTGCTTGGAGGCAGAAGTTAACTTTGGCTTTCATATCCCTCAGAACACTTAGGACAGTCCTTGAAGCACAGGGGACCTAGTTTCCCTCTATTTTTCTGTTTGTTACTGAATCCAGAAGAGACCAAGATAGACTGTTACCAGATTTAGAAGGTATGTTTAGAATGATATGAATTGAAACACAGGCGACATGGCATTCATAAAATTCATGTTGTGGAAACTAGGGGACCACTTCGAAGTAAGAGGCAGCCCCCTGCAGAGCACCCAAAGAACTGACCCACAGGGGAGACAGGCTACAGACACAGGAAACAAACAATGAGTACAGTTGACCCTTGACCAAGGTGGAGGTTAGGGACACCCACCCCCATGAGGTCAAAAATCCACATACAACTTTAAATCCCCTCAAACTGAACTACTAATTGCCTACTATTGACTGATAACATAAATAGTTGAATAATATATTTTGCATGTTATATGTATTATATACTATATTCTTGCACTAAAGTAAGCTAGAGAAAAGAAAACATCTTTTTTTGTCACAAATCTCTAAAAAATTTTCCCATATTTTTTGAAAAATATCTGTATGTAAGTGGAATCATGCAGTTCAAACCTATGTTGTTCAAAGATCGTTTCATACATGAGCATCATGAGAATCATGCCATTCAAACCTATGTTGCTCAAAGATCATTTCATACATGAGCAATTAGAAGTCACAAAAGCAGAGGGATGCAAGCAATGCCTTTCAACTGAGCTGCCATTCATATGTAAGTGCCCCAAGGGGGGCAATAGGAGATTTGTTTATCTTTATGGGGTGGATGATTCTCCAAACCACCCCAGATCTACAATCTAGTCAAGTAAAATTAAATATTGCTACAATTTCATCATGCACTACAATGTATAAAGCACTAAAAATAAATGTAGACTGAGTACAGTATAATGGTCAGTATACTATCATTTTTTTTGTTCCTCAATGCAAAAATACATAGTGTTGATTTTAAAGAGGACTACTTCCATGACTAATATTTGGTAACACTTTTACTACAGATGGCTTCAGATTTCTTTAAGAATGACTAATGGTAAGGAGTCCCCATAAAATAAGAGACTCTGGCTTCTTATTTTATGGAGTCCACTCAGACACATTCCAATTAGACAGACACTTTCCAGTAAAGGTAGGTAAAAGGGATCAGGATATGCCACCCCAAAGAATGCCACAATGACATAAGAATTACTTTGAGCTGAAGGCATTTGAGGTCCTGAAATCTCTTGTGTTCTTAAACAGCCTCCTGAAAAGACTCAATGTCATAAATCCCTCCCCTGGGGTAACTCAAATTTTCTTTGGTGACACAAGAAGCCATCACCTCACCCAGACAGACACTTACAAACTGCCTATCATCTCTTCTTCCAAGGGACCGTGTATCTTTCCAAAAACTAATTTGCTTTTCTAAAGTGCCCTTTCCCCTACTCAAGTACATAGACACCCATGTTCTATCACCCCTGGGAGGTGCTCACTGCTGCGTGCTCCCATTTGTAAGCTGATGCACATGGTAATAAATTTGCTATTCTCATGTTAAGCTATGTTTTCTGTCTAATTTTACAGCAGCCCAACAGGAAAACCCAGAAGCCTGGAGGAAAATAAATTTTTTCCCTCCCCTTCAGTTTTGGTGACAAAGATAGCATTCCATTGGCTGGGACATCTTGCTTGGTCCAGAAGCTGCGATTAGATCTTGGACCTCTTACAAAAGCCACAGAAAGTAAGACTTCTTACCAAAGTTAGCCTTCCAGATTCCTGTCTGCAGGATCCAGTGGAATGAGGATGGTAAAAATCTCTTTCTGTCTTTTCAGTTTCATTTTCATGCTCAGCCCAGGGGCCCAAAGAGGGTCAAGGCAAAGTTTTTTCTCTACTACGTAGGAAAACTGAAATTATATCCTACATATTGAAGGACAACAGATTCACATGTCTCCACAGACAGTCTACGTTCCCTCCTAACGCTGTCATCTTCATGCACTGAAGATCCTGGCCTGCTCTCACCACCACAGATTGAAACCAAAACCCAAGAATCTCCCAGTAACAGCCGAACTAACTATCTACAATATTCCTATTGTATTGAAGTTAAATGAACTAACTTCAATAGCAGGAGATAAAAACAACAAAATGGTGGCAAGATAGGGCTCCTCACAGAAAAATATTTCATCATAACCACACAGCAGATTGACTGCAAAACTGAAATGTCTGCTAAAGGTTCATTTAAGAAGTCACAGAAACACTGCAGTTCCAAATACAGAAGCCTTCTTAGCTGAAAGTAAATAAATATATTACACTTCCATCTTAGACCACACACCAAAACTGGTAACAAAATATTATATGAAGAAACCAGACTGGGTATGTTAGTTCCTTTTCCACAGATTTTCTCCAGGTTTGCATCTGCATTTGCTGTTTGTAAACAATATCTTTCATACACTCAGCCTAGAAACCCTTACTGGGAAAAAAATAATGTCCACACACCACACTCCCAAATCAATGGACTAAAAATAATCTTTCCTTGCAAGCACTGACTATTTTAAGCCTTTTTCTTCCTCAGCAAATGACTGGGCTGCAAACAATCATGTGTTCTTGTAAAACAGATGGCAAACCTATATGCTGGGGAAAGTGATTGGTTCAGGGTTTCTCAGTCTCAGCACTACTGACATTTGGGGCTAGATAATTTGTTGTTGAGGAGGCTGTCCCAGGTATTGTAAGGTGTTTAGCAGCATCCCAGGCCTCTACCTACTCAATGACAGTAGCACTCTCTGACCCCAGTCATGACAATTAAAAGTTTCTCAAGACTTTTGTCCTCAGGGACAAAATCACCTCTGGATAAAAACAACTCATTTAGGCTAAAGTAGATTGTGTCCTGTGGCAATGAGATCTCAGGAGGCCCAACAATGTTTCTAGTCATGACACTTCATGGAAAATATTTCTTGTATAGCCTCCTGGAAGAAATAAATAAAGCTCCCGTAGATCTGAGAGGTCTCTATTTGGCACACTGGTAACCCACTTATTGGAGGCACAAAGGTTGGGGAGTGCTGCCCTGTGGGACCCACACCCCCAATGCCCCCACCCCACTCTCCTGCACACTGTCCAAGCACTTTGCAGCCTCCAGTTCAACCCTCTATTCTTCTCAGTTCCCAAGTTTGGCAGCACGCTCCAGGCAAATGACACAATCCACTGAGTGGCCACAATTTGTAGAACAGGCTAATGGACTACTGAGCCAAATAAGTCCTGAAGCAGTAAAAGATGAGGTCCAGCCACTCTGATCCCAGGCAACGGCAGAGCCTAGAGAGTAGACACTTCTTGCATGAAGCCTCTGAGGAGTTCTTCCCCAGGACCCCGTAAGACTGCCCTGAACTTGTAAATCCACCCAGCTGAGCTAGTACCCATGACGAAGACACCCAACCCTCACCATAAAGCAGAGGTAATAATAACATTCTGGTGGAAGAAACTCAGAGACAGAATTGGAACTCATCCCATGAAGGGGGAAAAGCAGTAATTACAGAAGCAACAGGCAGCGAGAGGGATAGACCCGACCCCAGTCTAGGAATCCGCTGGCAGCCCCTTCCTTCTACCCTGTGAGGACACAGTGAGAAAACAGCTGTCTATGACCCGAAATGGGCCCTCACCAGACACCAGATCTGTGGGTGTCTTGATCTTGGACTTCTAGCTTTCAGGATTGTGAGAAATAAAATCTTGTTGTTTAAGCCACCCAGTCTGTGATATTCTGTGACAGCAGCCTGAACAGATTAAGACACTTTCCTAATAAGGAAAGGTAAATAAGTAGCAATAGAAGTTGAAAATATGTGGAAAAGGAACTGCTTGCTTCCAAACTGAAGACATTTTTAGAATAAATGAAGTCTAAAAATGAAACAAAGGGCAGTCACCTGCTTCTAATAAAAACACATCAGCACAATTACCTAATTTACACAGTGTCGTTTAAGCTAATGCTCAGTTGCTTCCTGATGAACAATGAGCTGGTCGCTGTGACTGCATTTTCCTTTATTTTTATCACTTGTTTATAATATTCAGTTGCTTGCTTCTTTTGACATCTAAAAAAGAGAAATTCAATTAAAGTTTCCTACTGAAGAAGTATTGCACTCATTCATTCATTCAACAAACATTCACTGAATGCCGGCACAGAGCTGGGGTGCAAAGGTGAATAAGCCTGAACCTCACCCTCAGAGGATTTCCCAAAATAGGAGGAGAGATTGGAGAGTGAAACAGAGGACTGTGCACCCAGGATGGGCACTGAGTGCAAACCCAAGAGTTTTGAACTTTCATATTGAATTTTCATTAAGAGAACGATGTGATCCAATTTGCATTTGAGAATATGTGCCTGGCTGGGGTGTGGAGGATAAATGGAAGCCGGTGAGGCTCTAGGCAGGGAGGCCCGATGGTACAGAGGAAGACTGAGGAGGGTGTGGGAGAGCGAAGCGGCCGTGATGTGTAGGCAGCCTGGAGCGGCTGGCTCCCCTGACTGGGCGGTTCTGGCGCTGGGAGCCCTGCAGTGGGCACACATGCAGAATGACGTGGTAGGGGCTTGAGTGCTAAGTCGGGCGGCCCCGTGGGGACACAGCGATCGGGCACAGAAGCTCGGCACTCAGACTCCCTGGGTGCTAGCCCTGGCGCAGCCACTTAAAAGTTGGGCAAGCATCTTAATCTCCTAAACCTCAGTTTTCTCATGTGCAAAATGAAGATAACAGAGTTGTGAGGACCAAATGAGAAAATGTATATAATGTGTTTGGCACAGGGACTGATAACATATATCATAAAGACGTTGCCACAGTGTCTGCACTGGGTGCGACAGGAGAAGATGCATCTTGTCAGGGAGAGGAGGTGAGGTGCTCAGTCTTGAGAACGCTGACTCGGAAATGTCCAGAGACTTTGGAATACTCAAAAGGAGACGTGCCACAGGCACCTGGAGGCACACACCTGCAGCTGACGATAGAGCTCCGAGAAGGGGCTGGACACAAGGAGCCGGCACCACCTGGAGTGACGGCAGAAACCCCAGGCATCCGTGAGGAGGAGGTGTGAAGCCCGAGACAAGCAGAGCCCAGGAACTGAACCCAGAGAGCCCTGCCATTTGGACAAGAGTCTAGGAGAGAAAGTGGGAACCCACAAAAGAAAGTGAGAAGGCATGGACAGAGGCAAGACCCATGAGGGAGGGAATCACAGAAGCCAGGGGGGCATTGCTCCAGGAACGGAGCCATCAAACCCAGTCCAGTACTTCAGCAGGAGAGGACCAACGAGATCACAAAGCACATTTCGCCTGTTCCTGACGGCTTCCATAGGAGTGGGGGAAATGATTTGGGTGGCAGTGGAAGTCAAATGGCAGAAAATGGCAAGTGAAGGGGTAAGGGAACCCGGCTGTGAGGAGGATGCTGATGAAAGGAGCTGCTGATGGATGGAGGCAGAGTTGAGGAAGAGTAGGCGACATTTATTTTGCTGAGAAGGTATCAGTTTTCCTCTCGAGACTATATTCATTCTTCTCTGTCTTGTTTATCAAAATTTTTAATTTGATCTCATTTATCCAGCCCTACCCATCCCTATTCTATGAGGCCCTCGGATCCCATGGATCATTTCTCTAGTGTGTGACAGTAGTCTCGCGGGCTCCTGGCCACCAGGACAAAGGATTGACAGCACAGCAAAGTATCCCCTGGTCTTAACCAATGTTTATAAAAATCCTGTCCTAAGGACAATTTTCAACAAGGAAAAAGGCTTCTCTGCTGTTTCAGAAGGTTGACCTCTGACAATGAGGCCAAGTATGGTCAGGTCCTCTGACACAGAGGCAGCATTAAGTGTCTGTGACTCACACCCTTCAAGCTCAGGATTTGCAGTGGAGCAGAGGGGCGGTAGCGATGACTCAGTCAGTGTGCTATGCGTTCAGATTTTTCTTTTATGAGGCAATGGTCCTACTGTCAAGTTTTTGGTTCTCTAAAGAAAGTCTAGTTCTTTGCTCATGGCACTGGTCTTCTGAGGAACAAAAGGAGGCTTATGTGGTGTCAAGTACCTCAACAACTACCTGCTGGGGAGCAAAATGATAATGCTAAGAACTCAATTCATTGAACTCTTGGCATGTGCCAGGCATTCTGTTCGGCACTTTACATAAAGGATCTCTTAGCCCTCAAAATCATCCTGTGAGGAAGATCCTATTACCACTTTCACTTAACCAATGAGGAAATGAATGAGATAAGTATCAAGGACATAGCCAAGTTCTCACTGTTACTAACTTGCCCCAGGCAATCAGACCCCAGAGCCTTCCTTCCCACCTCCTCCCTGCCGTGTAGCACCTGTCATCTTACCCTCAGACACTCCCTCATCTGCAAATGCTCCGAGAAAGATTTAACACTGATGCGCACTTAGATGTTAGAGATCACCAACATCACATTCTTCCTGAAAGTGGGAGGAGGTCACCTTCCTGATGAGAGGTGAAAGGAAAATTATGTTGAAGAAAGCTGACAGTGAAAGGCAAGTCAGAGAACCAGGAAGGAAGGGGGAGAAGCTACAAAAACAAAACTTTAGAATTTAACCTAGAACATCCCCCGAGCTACTGGATAGGCTAAATCAGCTATGAAAGAGTAAAAGCCGGGGCACAGGAAGGGTGTGCTGAGCCCACCCTGGACCAGTGGAATCCCCCAGCTGACCCACAGACAATAATAAATGGCTGTTGCTTTAAGCTGCTGAGTTGAGGGATGGTTATACAATAAAAGCTAACTGATACAGCCCTTTCAGTATTACATAAGCCTGGAGTCCTTTAGTCTAGTCTGACTATAAATCAATGGGTCAAAAATGCTTAATATCTTCACTCACCAAACATTTTTTTGTCTCAGCTCTCTTAGTGACACCACAGCAGCCTCAAGCATCAAACAGTGGAGATTAAATCACAGCCACCATCAGTGAGTTTGCAACTACATGCCAGGCACCATTCTGTGTGCTCTCCAGTCTCCTATGAACGCTTTCGGTCTCACAACAACATGAAATGTAGATACTGTTTTTATCACTTCCTGACAAATATGGGAAATGTGACCCAGAAAGCTTAAAGAGCAGAGAGCCAGTGAGTGGAGAGCTGGAATTTGAACCCAGAGAGTCAGGCTCTGAATGACCGTCCTCACTGCTGGAAGCCTCCTTTTCTGAGGCTCCACAATGGCCCCCAACAGTCTGAACACGTGGCCTGTCAGAAGAGGAGTGCGTTACGGTCAGCCCTCCCACGCCCGCCAGCCCACCGGAAGAACCAAGCCTGTAAATCACACACTGCTTCCCTTTCCCGACAGCGGGTACAGCCCAGGCATCCGACTCTGGAGCAAGAGGTTATTCCTCTGCATGTATGCACCTTACCTTCTTGCTTCACCAAGTCCTGGTCATCCTCTAAGTTGCTGGGCAAAAAATCCATCAGGTTCGGCCACGCTTTCTGGAAGTACTGGATCCCTTTCCGGGTTGTCCCTACTTCAAGAAAGAGTTCTCCAATAGCATTCTGTGCTTTGAGAAGCATTCCTGTCATGGACTGACTCTGTACAAAATGAAAAGGAAACCACTCCTGAGGGACGGAGCGGATCAGGAACAGCCGCCACACACCCATCCAAGAAAGGTTCATATCATATGAACGTGCAAGAGATGGCACATTTCATGTTGTTTCTCAGGGAATCCTAAATACTTATAAAATATGATGAGAAACATTTATTGGGAGACACGGCAAACTAAAAGTAAATTTTGGAAAATGTTTTCATAGGTTGTTAGTTAATAGTAAGAAAAATTCTGAAGACAAGAATAATAGGACAATGTCTTATACATATTAAAGATCCCAGAGGAAGTAAAATTCAAGTGAACACCTGAAAAGATGTCTATGTGGCCCTTGAATTCAGGCATGGCCAAGGATCTGCTAACTTTACATTTGACACATTTTTCTTAGATTACTGTCATCATTGGTTACGCAATACTTTATTCGATCCCACAATGTTAGCTCAGAAAAAGGGTTAACTGAGCCTGGCTCCCTGGTATGAATACTTTCTGTTCTCCTGAACCTACTGAAAGTGCAATTTCCTGTCAAACTGACCTTCTACATCTTGAACCACAGCTTTCCTGCAAACAGGTTGCATCTCCCCTGACATATTCTGATATATTCCTACAAAACCGGGTGGGCTATCAAGTCCTTGGGCCAGTAGGCCTACAGTTCTTTCAGACATTCCCTCATGTGTATCCTAAAGGTGCCTTCTCAGCAGCAATCCTAGATTTCATCCCTCCTACTCACCTTTCCTATTCTCCCTTTCAAAGATGGCCTCCACATTGATTTGACTTAGATCAAACCTACCTGAAAAGTTGCCTCAGATATTGGCTAGGATTACAATTGGCTGCAAGTTAACAGAAAACCCAAATTAACAGTGACTTAATATCTCTCATGCACGAGTCAGCAAGTGGGTGGCCCAGGGCTACAGACATACCACAGTGTCAGAGACTCGGGTTCCTTCCACCCTGTTGCTTGACCTTGCCTAACCTCCCTTCTCAAGGATACCTCTTGGTCTGAAATGGCTGTTCTATCTCCGGCCGTCATATCACAATCCAACCAGCAGGAAGGAGGAAAGAAGAGAAGAAAGCCACAACCCTTCACTTCCTGGAAACTTCTTAGAAGTTATCCCTATCACTTCCATTTACATCCTATCAGCCAAAACTTAGACATGTGCTCATATCTAGGTTCAAGGAAAGCTAGGAAATACAGTCTTCCTTCCTAACAAATATTTGCTGGGCTAAAAATTCAGGAGAGGGTACGTTACTTACTATGAAAGGGGAATAGATACAGGGAAATTAAAGTCTCTGGTACACTTCACTTATCCTCTTCTCTGAATTTTAAATTAGCAATGTCCACCCATTTTCCTCTTTCCTGCCTATGCCAAAGGAAGGGATGCCCAGCATTCTTCCCAAGGACCCCACCCTTCTCCAAATTCTCACTCCTGTCCTCCTCACAGAGACACAGCAGCATCTCCAATCTGCCCCTCTCCATGGTTCATTTCCTGCTCCACACAAACAGCCATATCCTGGATCAAACCTGACCTGAACCCCATCCTATCCTGACTTTTCATCTTTCTCCTCTTATTGAGAAACTTCTTAAACAAATTCTCAATATGTGCTGCTTCTCCATTTCATTTCTACACACTCACCTCTTAAAACCCTGCAGTTTGGTTCTAACCACATACAGCCCCTTCATCTCAGGAGTTTCCACTGGCTCCCACTCACCAAACCCAGGGGCTTTGTTCACTTCTCATTTGTCCAGATCTCTAAACAGAACTGATGCAGTCAGCCACTCCTTGATTTCTGGGAAACCATGACATCGGATTCTCTTCCCATCTCTCAATTCCTTCACAAGGCTTCCTTTCCCTTTCCTCCTTTTGAGTATCAAGTAATTTCCCCATAACCAGTTCCTACTGTCATTCAGAGACCCCGTTTCCTCTTGTGGTTCCAGCATTCACATGTATGTAGATGTCTGTCCAATCTCTCTCCAGATTTCCAATCCTACATTTCCTTTAGTTGGCTGAAAACTACACCTGAGTACTTTTTCCAGAACTGCAAACTCAGCAATTTAAATGCTTAAAATTCATCATCTCCCACTCCAAATCCAACTTCTTTGGATTTCCCCACTTTGTCGAATCCCCACACTCAAATCATCAGAGTTTCCTTCATTTCCTCCCTGTGTCGTAGCCACACTTCCCATCGGCCTGAGTGGGGCAGAGGAAGCTCCCGTCGTGAGGAGGCCCTCAGCTCCCTACCCACTCCCAGGCAGAGTGGCCCCTCCACTCCCAAGTCTCACCACCCACATTCCCAGACATATTAATGGGCACGTCAAAGGCAGGCACATATTATCAATTTCCTCTTCATGAAAACATGTCTTTTATTCTCTTTCTTCAGGCTCTCTACTTCTTGAGGGCAGAGACCCCACCATCCGAGCACTGAGCTTTATGCTTCATGGGCATTCAGTAAATATTTGTTGATATTCACAGTGATTGTGACCTTCAATCCTAAGTAATGGTCCATACCAGCCACCATCTATGGAGCACCAACTGAGTTAAGCACTTGCCATGCATGACCTCAATGGGTATTTACAGAAACCCTAGGAAATGGGGATTAATACTCCTTTTTTACAGGTGGGAACACTGAAGCCTAGTGAGGTTAAATAAATCACCCAAGTTCACATGGCTAGCAAGTAGGAAAGCAAGGGTGTCCTACCTGCCCTATCTCCAAAGCTCTGCCATGTACATTTTCTTAACAAGCAGGCTCCTTGTGCATAAACAGGGACCCCTTCACAAAAGTACTGGTTTTCCTGCCTGGAACACCTACTCTGATAATAACAGGAGAGAAAGTAATGAGACCTACTTTTAAAAAAATATACCTGAGCACCGCTGATATTTGGGGCAGGATAACAGCTGTGTGGGCTGTCCTGGGAAGTGTAGGGCGTCTAGCAGCACACCTGGCCTCTACACACTCAATGCCACTAGCAAATTGCCCCCTTCCCAAACCATAACGACCAAAAATGTTCCAAATATTCCCTAGGGGACAAAACTGCCTCCCATTTGAAAACCACTACATTAAAATTAAAATTGCTTAATGACTTAAGCTGAAGAAATTATAAAGGGGGTACCGTAAAAAATGTATACATCACAAATAACAAGATTTTTCCCTTCAAGAATGTTAGGCATGTATTTCAAAGAAGTTGTTATTGCCCAAAATAGTTTCAGAACTTCTCTTTTGGAAGTGCCTTTGGAGCCTAAAGGAAGTTGTTTTAAATAACGTCCATGGTTGGCTTATCCCAAAAAACTGTTGCAAAAATATTTTGAGAATAGAATCATAAGATTGGTGCCTCTAAAAGGAGGGCTCTGCAGTGGGAAATTCTTTTTGAATGCCTAAGCTTTGGCACCCCTCCTGTGACATCAGCCTCATCCCTTCGCCACCACGTAGTTCATGGGTTATGCTTCATCACCAGTGAAGATGTTGGCAGTGACTTCCAGCTGGATGGGGGACTCCCTGAGAGCAGAAACTGCCTGTTTCACTCCCTGGCTACATCCCAACCCCCAAGTGCTGTGCTCAGGTGACATCCTCAATGAATGGTCGCTGGCTGAGCAGCTGAGTGAAGGATTGCAATCAGGCACTCAGTGATCACCCAATAAAATAATTGATGCTTTCCAGACAGACACATGCCAGTGATGAAAATGTGGACCTCATGGGAAAAAAAATTGGTGCAGGGGGAAATTCCATAATCATAGTAAGATACCAGAGAAGGACTGGACTCTACCCCCTGAAAAATCGAAGAGCGGTCCAAATAGCTTAAATCAAACTCATTATTTCTAACCTAGGCCACTGTTAACTTTAGAGCCCACAGACAGTAAAAACAAAATAGCTACCAGTTCTTAAGATCTCATACGCAAAGTGCTTTGTGCACTTTCATACTTGACCCTGTTAAGATCCTTAACAATGAACACTCACTGAGTCAAAGGTTACAATTCTTGCCACAGTCACACAGCAGAAAGTCCCAAAGCACTTTAATCTGGGTCAGTCTGAAAACAGCCCATGCTCTAGTCACCACTACTCTATGCTACCTTCTAAGGACATGAATTATTTGCAAATTCGAATTGATTCACTGATTCATTTGTCACATTTAGTAAGTCAGTTGTAATATGCCATAGAGGATACAGAAACTGGCAAATAAGCATGGTCTCTACCATAAAGGGACTTGCAATGTTGAGTCTTATAAACCTTTTAGATAGAATTCCTTCTATAAAGATGTGTGTTGATGGAGGCAAAGGCAGTGGCTTATGAAAATTTGAAATAAAAAGAACTTTGTTTTGAAATAAAAAGAGCTTTGTTTGGGTTACACTCTTGGTCCACAAACTCTCCTGCAATAAGTGAAAATTTGTATTTTTTAAAGAAAGGACAGTTAAATGTCATCCTAGGCATAGTGATGGATATGTGTGATGAGTGAAACTTTCATTGTATTCAACAAAGCCAAAAGTTCATGGTGTGGGGGATCATGGGGAGAACAGTGTACCACAGAGAAGGGACATAGTGGATCTCTGGCAACTTGCTGCACTAATGGGAAGTGACTGCATTGGGGTAAGGGTGGGGACTTGATAGTATGGGTAAATGTAGTAACCACATTGTTTTTTCATGTGAAACCTCCATAAGAGTATATAAATCATACCTTAATAAAAAATTTTAAAAAAATTATAACCAAGTCTTTAACTGATTTTAGATTCATTCATTTCAATCCACTGCTCTATTTATCTTTTGCTTTATAAACATTCCTTTTTTCCCAAAAAGTGACACCTATTGGTATTCATTCATTCAATAATGACTATCTTCTGTTTAGTGCTTGGCACCAATACACAGTTTGGGGGGTGGATTAAAATCAAAGCTTCCCCACTGATTAGCACAACTAATTATTATTAATTATTTATTTCCTCTATTTGTGGATTAGATTATAAAGGGTCAAAGGTAAATGATATCTGAAAATAGCTAACACAAAAGGAATAATGTTTGAAGGATTAAAAATTATATCCCACTTTACCTGCACTAACATGTACTCAAGACTCAAGAATAACTCTTCCGCTCCATTGGTCTTATCCGTAAGCTTCAGAAACCTTGCGATAAAGAACATTAATTGGCATTTGCCAGTGGCAGTAACCTCAAAGAGCCTGCATTCAACCACTAGACTGGGAAGAAAAGTAAATAATCCTGAAGCTTACTTGGACAGGAACAAAGAGTAGAGTACACAGTACCCACCACTTAATCTGATGCAGGAGTTAATACATTATCCACATTTCAGTGTTTTTATCTCAAGGAATCATCATTTTGCTTTATGAAGGTTTACATATATTACCAAGTATTTTAGACTGTGACATGAAAAATACTCTAATGCTTTTTAAGTAGCCTTGGTATATAAATTTTGAAAACCAGAGAGTCAAAAAAGAGTACTTTCAGCTTAATCCATACATGACTGTAATTGTATTTGGGGGTGATTTTCCGAAGAGAAGGAAAAGATGTTTAAATTACTTATACAATTCTGCCCTCTGTTGCAACTATCTTGAATTACTGGCTTTAACAGAAAGAACAAAATAGGGAGCATACTGTGTGTGTGTGTGTCTGTGTGTGTGTGTGTGTGTGAGTGCGCATGTGTGTATGTGTACCTAATGATACATAGGATATAAGGTTAATATACAAAAGTCTTTCCTATATGCCAGCAATGAAAAATGGAAATTAAAAATTTTAAACACAATACTATTTGTAATAGCACCCAGAAAATGAGATACTTAGGTATAATTCTAAAAAACATGTTCATGATCTATATGCAGAAAACTGCAAAACTCTGATGAAAAATATCAAAAAAGATCTAAATAAATGGATAAATATTCTGTGTTGATGAATCAGGAGACTTGACATTGTTAAGATACTTGGCTATAAATTCAATGTAATCCCAAGAAAAATCTTCTATAGCTGCCCAACTGATCTTTGACAAAGTAGCAAAGATAACTCAGTGGAGAGTCTTATTAATAAATGGTACTAGAACAATTAGACATCTACATGCAAAGAAAAAAAAGAAGAATCAAGACACAGACATCACACCTTTCACAAAAAAATTTACTCAAAATGGATCATAGACCTAAATACAAAATACTATAAAACCTTTAGAAGGAAACATAAGAAACAAGCTACATGATGTTGGATTTGGTGATGGGTTATTAAACACAACACCAAAAGCATGATCCATTCAATCCAAAGAAAATATTGATTAGGTTAGACCTTATTAAAATTTAAAACTTGTGCTCTGTGAAAGACACTACTAAGAGAATGAAAAGACAAGACAAAACTGGGAAAAACCTATTTGTAAAACACAAATCTCATAAAGGACTTCTACCCAAAATATGCAAGGAACTCTTAAAGCTCAACAATAAGATGTGTAAAGATGTTCAACATTATTTGTCACTAGAGTATTGCAAATTAAAACAACAATAAGATATTACTATACAACTATTTGAATGGCTAAAGTTAAAAAATATTTTTAACTGACAATACCAAATACTAGTGAGGATGCAGAACAACAGAAACACTTATTCGTTGTTGGTGGGAATGCAAAATGGTACAGTACCTTTGGAAGACATTTGGATGTTTCTGAGGGTCTGAAGGGCAAAATTTCATACACTAGTACAGTACCTTTGGAAGACAATATGGCAGTTTCTTACAAAGCTAGTCTTTACCATACATTGGTTCCAGCAATCAAGCAATCGTTGTCCCACGTATTTACCCAACTGATTTTAAAATTTACATGCAAATGTTTATGGCAGCTTTATTCATAATCGCCAAAAGCAGAAAGTAACCAAAATGCCCTTCAGTTGGTGAATAAACTGTAGTACATTCATACACTAGCATATTATTTGGCAATAAAAATAAATATGAAGCAAGAGATCCTCACAACTGGGTATGGCAGCCCTGACAGCTTACAGAAGGGCAGTGTCTGTTGAGGTAGACAGGTGGACGAGTAGGAGAAACATTTAGCCAATAAAAAACGTCAAGATTTAGTGATGAAATGTATTTGGCAAGGAGGTAAAAGGAGAGGGAAGTGTCAAGGATTATTTGAAGGTGGTAAACTGAGAGATGGTCCTTGAAAGAGAACCAACCTGACTTTGGAGGGATGTTCATGAGTTCTGTCTCAGACCTGCTGGGTTTGAGAACCTTTGGTGACATCATCCAAGTAGGGAGTTAAGTAGACAGATGGATGTATAGATCTGGGGCTCAGAGGAGGGCAAGTGTGGCTGGAGAAATAAATGTGTAAATCACATATACATGGACAAACACTGAAGCCATGACATCAATAATATGCTGATGGTAGAATTACGCATGAGAGGCAAAGAACTTTATAAAGAATTCTAACACTGAGAAGCCAGGTAGAAGAGGAACTAATGAAATAGAGAAAAGGAGCAGCCAGAGAGAGAGAGAGAAGATGAACCAGAGGAGTATATGTCCGCAAAACCAAGAGATCAAAATATTTGCAAGAAGAGGGCATGGTCGAAAATATCCATTGATGCTAAGAAGTCAAGTCACAAGGAGTAAAATGTTCTTTGGAGGGCCTGCTCATAATCTTGCCTATTTTTATTGAAATGTTCATCATCTTCCTACTGATTTAAAGAGCATTTTACATGTTAAAAATAAGAATCCCTTTACCTGCTCTGTATGTTACAAACCCTTTTCCCAGTTATCACTTGCCTGGTAATTGTGTTTCTGATTTTCTCAGAATTGTTTTGCTGTTTTTTCTATATTATGTCTATAAATCAGTTGGGGAAGAATTGATAGCTTTGCAATGTTGAGTTGCCCCATCAAAGAGTATGGCATGACCCCCTACATACTGAAATTTTATTTTATTTTATTTTATTTTCTGTAACTTGAAATGTTTTTATAAAAAATCCTGCATAGTTGTTAATTCTTAGATATTTCATATTTTCTGTTGCCATTGTAAATTGTGTCTTTTGTTCTTTTTATTTCTCTGTGGCTTTTTCAAAAATTTTAATAGACCATTTTGTTCCATTTATCCAAAATACTTTGAGGTTTCTGAGGGTCTCAAGGGCAAAACTTCATACATTAGTCATGAAAAGCTGGCACTGTCCCATTTACTGCAACCTTCTGACAACATCCTGTGATGTAATGCGCTTGTCCTTCGCCCTAACACCAGCCCCTCAAAAACAAGGTGATTCTTCCCATCCCTAACCCACCCCACCCACCAGTTGGAGGGCAGCCAGCCATCTGTCAAGATAGAGCCAGGCTGGGACCTATCCTCCTGCCACATCTGCTCTTAGTCTGTCTCTTCTGGTCTTTGACATTGCCCAAAAATGTGACTTCGGCCAAAAGCGTATTTTCTTCACTTTGATGTGACCCAGGACTCCAGCCAAAAACGAGAGTATCATGTCCCAGATAATCTATGAAAACTAAACCGACTATAAACATTGTTCTCTAGACTCAAAGGCCTCTCGATTGGCCATCAATCGGAGATACAACTCCCCCAGATGAATCCCGCAAGACAGGCAAACCCTGGCGCCAGGTAGGGGGACAGGAAGCCCGCGGGGAAGAAGCAAGTTCAGCACAGCACAGCACGCCCTCCACAGAGCAAGTTAGGCTTCATCGCAGCCACCAGGGGGCGACACACCACACAGTCTGGCGGGAGGCACCAAGGACGTGGGGTGTGCTATTCACTGTACCTGAGTGTGCGCACCTCTTCCTTGTTTTATGGCACTTATCTGCTTTAATATTGTCCGCTATAAGTAATTAGGCCCCAGAAGCATCATCCGGCTTCGGGTAATACCTTCCAGTAGTGGATGAGGTGCAGCCTTGTCCAGAAGCTTGGGCTTCGGACCTTTGATATACCGTCTGTGACACTGGTAGCACAACGTATTAATGTAAGTCATTTTAGTATTCCGTGCCTTGAAGGAGCCTATTCTCCTATTTACCATATTCTATTAGCCAATCCATAACTTCTTAACTAACATGACTTTGGGAGACCACCAGATAAATATGAGCCTGTTACTCTTCAGCAGTCAAAGCCAATGCCAGCCTTCCGTCCAGGAGGCACCCTCCCCGAGGCTGTCCTTGAATCTGCCAGGCACAGCGAGCCCCTTCCTCTTCTGAGCTTGCTCACCGCCATGTTGGTGCTTCAGTGCAGCATTTACCGCCATGAATAGTTATGCTCCGGCTCCCTGTCTTCCCGCTAGATAACACCTAAGGGCTTGGTGCTCTTTCTCATTCACTCCCTCATCCCCTGCGCCTAGAACAGCAAGCCAGTGGGGTAGAGATAGATGTTTGCTGAAGGAATGCATAAGAGTACAAGAAGAATGGGGCAGGTGGGAGCAGGGAGAGAGCCAGAGGAGGGGGAAAAGGAAGGAAGGTAGGAGTACCTAGCAGGAGAATATGGCCAATCCATTACCCTTGCCCGACTACAAGCCTTTCCCTGGAATGGCCCTTAACTTTGAGAGGACCCCACATGGAGTCAAAGGGAAAGATGATGAGATCAAACAGAGCAACCCTGAGGACCCATCAGCCATAGAAATTGATACCAAATGATGTTCCCATCAGAATGAATGAACAGACAATTGAATGAATAAATGAATGAATGTGTTTTTATCAAGGGAACCACAGGTATCTAAACACACTGCTTAGCAAAAGGAAAAGGTAAATCTGCCCAAATACAATATAAAATGGCAAGACTTACTTGGGCCTTGAGAGAAAGCTGCACAACTCCTCCCGGCAGCCACTCATTTTCATATGCCATGGCAGCTCCTGATACACTCGCCAGAAATCAGCTTGCTGTTGGACATATCTAACCAAGATTTGGTGAAAATGTGTTTTCTTCTGATTCACTGGGTTCTGAAAGGTATTTGGACTGCTTTCTCTGACAAGAGTGACTAGGCCTATTTAAAAATCAATTACAGTTGAACACATGTGACACTGTACTGAAAACACTACAGCAAATTGATAACAGCTCTGCAGCCACAATAAGAGACAATAAAAATAAAATCAAGGTAGCTCGAAAACAAACTGAATATTAAAATTATATCTTCTTATAAGTCAGTCTGAATTTCCCAAAGAATTAGTTACAATTATGATCACTGACCTAGATTTTTAGAAGCTTGGAAGCATGTTCATTTTTCAATGAGTCTTTCTCCTCTGCCAAGGAAATATTTGTAACCTACTTTTCTATTTAAATATATGTCATGGTTACTATTTAAATAAGCTCTTTCAAGTATTTAAGGGCATGCATTTTGGAGAAGTTAATCCACTGCCTTGATCTCATATAGGCCAAGTATTAGCTGAGCAAACAGACGGCAAACTAGATGTTGGAGTCTAGATTACTGTATTTTCATTTCCAAAGAGAAATGGTTCCAACAGATCATACTACCCAGGATCAGCTTCTCAAAAAAAAAAAAAGAGGTAGGTGGTGGTTTTAATAAATCTTGGAGGTCTCTATCCTTCAAAACTGAAAAAGAAGTATTTTTAATTTTCTGCTTGACACATTTCTTCAAGATGAATGGGACACAGGCTGGATGGCACACCAAGTCCAGCACCCATAAAAACTATAACAAAAGGGGAGCCCATTGTTCAAATAATCATTCTGCATCTCCACTCAAACGATTTACAGGTTATCTGTGCATTTGGAGAGACTCCATGCTAGCTGGTCTACAATGGGCAGATTTATCCCGGTGGCATATACAGGGCATAAGAGAGCCGTGGAAGAAAAAAGAAAACTCCCTTCCTCCACTATGTGTAGCGAAGGCATTTTTGTCAGTTGTAAATTGGGGAAGGGTGGTGGGAAATAAAAGAAAGAGAACTGGGACAAATATTCTGAGTCTACAGTTTGGAGTGTTGAACACAGAGTTTACAGTGTTCAAAACATTTTCATATAAAACACTGAGTTTAATTTTATCTTTTTCACAAAATAACCTTGTGAGGAGGATATCAAAATCCCTGTGATGGTTGATTTTATGTGTCAACTTGGTTGGACTAAATGATGCACAGATTATGGTTGTGTCTGTGAGAGTGATTCTGGAAGAGATGAGCATTTGAATCGGTAGACTGAGTCGATTACCCTCACCAGGACAGGTGGGCATCATCTAATCTGCTGAAGGTCCAAATGGGAAAAAAAAAAGGCAGAGGAAGAATGAATTTGCTCTGTTTGAGCTGGAACATCTGTCTTCTTGCACTTCTGTTTTTCACACTTTGAGACTTGGTGCAGGACTTATAGCATTGGTTCCCTGGTTCTCAGACTTCTGGACTTGGACTGGAACCACACTACCAGTTTAAACAGACATACCTACATCTATTGTATATTTAATTATATATTTTACATATATGCTTTATACATACATATTTAATATATATTATAAACATAGCTATATCTCTTAATAGGATATATCTGTATCTATGTAAATAAAGATATATCTATAGATACAGATATATAGACATAGATATATTCTATTGGTCCTGTTTCTACGGACAACCCTGACTAGTGCATCCCCATATGACAACTAAAGCTACTTAAAATCAGAGAGACCAGGTGACTGGCCTCTGGTCAGCACATGCTGGAGAAGCAAGCCTCAAACTTTCTGACTCAATTGAGGTGCTCTTTCAATTACACGTGGGATGTGAAGAATGGCTTGCCTGTGGCACCATCTGCACATACACAGCTCAACACAGTTTTCATGGACAGACTCCCTGGCTAACATTTATGTAGTGCTGTTACCTCTCATGATGGGCAAGTTTATGTTGTGTGGATAAACGACCCCAAATCTCAATGGCTTAAAACAGCTAAGATTTATCACGCCCATCACAGGTTAGCTGGACCTCCAAAGCCAGGTCTCCTCACTCCAGGACTGACAGAGCAGCCACCATCTTGAACATTGCCAGTTGCCACACACAACTCACTGGACAGAACTAGTCACAGGGCATCACTCAGCAAGGGGATCAAGAAGTACTTTTCCCGTGACAGGGGCAAGGGCTGGAAATATTGGCAACTGGCTGTAGAGGGTACCACAGTGCTTATTGTTATGCCAGATGCCATATTAAGCATCTTACATCAAGCATACTTAACACTTTAAAACCCTCCAGGTAAATAGTGCTATTATCTCCATTTTGCAGGTGAGAAGCTAAGTCATAGAAAGTTAAGCACCTTGCACAAAGAGATGCCCATTCTGTCAGATTCCAAAGCCCTTGTTCTTAACAAGAAATCATTTAGAATAGAAGCCAGGGTGGTTGCCCATAAGAGAGAAGGTGAACTCTGTTTGCCAAACAGCATGCAGGCCAGGGAGTGAAGTGAGGACAGGGCAGGACGAGTCCACTCCTCTCTCATGACCATGCTGTCAGGTGCAGGTGGCTCATATCCCTCTCCTGTGCTCAGCCCTCCGGATCTTGATTCCACTGGAGGTACTGGCTCTTAAAACAACAAATATGGAGGCATCTAGAAATGGCAGGCCCAAATAACCAGCTGTCTGGAACAGCTAGCTATGCATGCATTCAGCAAACATCTACTGAATAGAGTGGACCCAACTGGAATGGGTCTCCGGGAATACCGGCTTGCTTGAGGGTGTCTGAAGAAATGGAATAATCTTTAGGCTAACAGATTTCAAGATCACAAGTTGATCTGCACAGGTCATCTTAGGAAAGGTAGTGGGCAGGAAGCCACAGGGGAGATAGGTGAGGAAAACAATGGGGGAGTTCATAATGGCTAACATTTCTTGGGAATTTACTATGTGCCAGATCTAGTCTAAGTGCTTGTAATTACATGAATTAACTCATTGAATGCTCCCTAGTAAGAACCCTTTGAGGTTGGTATACTTACCATTTTACCAATGAGGGATCTGGGTACAGAGTGATAGAATGACATGGCCAAGGTCCTCATCTTGGAAGAAGAACACCAAGGCTCAGCATCAGTCAGGCATCAGGACCCCACTTTTTTTTTGTATCATTAATCTACAATTACATGAGGAACATCATGTTTACTAGACTCCCCCCATCACCAAGTCCCCCCTACACACACACCATCACAGTCACTGTCCATCAGCATAGCAAGATGCTATAGAATCACTACTGGTCTTCTCTGTGTTATACTGCCTTCCCTGTGCCCCCCCACCCCACATTATGTGTGCTAATCGTAATGCCCCTTATTCTCCTTATCCCTCCCTTCCCACCCATCCTCCCAGTCCCTCTCTATTTGGTAATTGTTAGTCCATTCTTGGGTTCTGTGAGTCTGCTGCTGTTTTGTTTCCTCAGTTTTTGATTTGTTCTTATACTCCACAGATGAGTGAAATCATTTGGTACTTGTCTTTCTCCACCTGGCTTATTTCACTGAGTATAATGTCCTCCAGTTCCATCCATGTTGTGGCAAATGGTAGGATTTGTTTTCTTCTTATGGCTGAATAATATTCCATTGTGTATATGAACCATATCTTCTTTATCCATTCACCTACTGATGGACATTTAGGTTGCATCCATTTCTTGGCTATTGTAAACAGTGCTGCAATAAACATAGGGGTGTGTGTGTCTTTTTCAAACTGGGCTGCTGCATTCTTAGGGTAAATCAGGACCCCACTTTTAACCATTATGCTATGCTGACTCCTTTCATTCAACATAGGCTGAAAAATGGGCTTTATAGACTGGATGTGGGGAAGCTCTTATAGAGTGAGTGTTATAAGAAGGGCTCCCTAAGGGACTGAGAAGGGTGGGGCTTGGGGAAGGAAGGCCTGCATAGTTCAGGTCTCCCAAGAGACAGATGCCTTCTCCCACTCAAACACTAGCACCGCCCTGTACCTGGAGGTCTGCCTGCCTCGGGACAAAGGGAGAAGGACCCCAGCATGAGGTCTGGTTTTCTCACAGTGAACCCAACAGGGGCAGTTATGCGGGACCCACATTAGTAAGCAGAAACCAGAAGAAACTGTATGATGACTCCAGCCAGTAGATGGATGAGAACAAGTGACACTGCTGGGGACTCCCAGAGACACCTGGAGCTGCAGGTGAGGACTTTTAGAGTGCTGGTGGGAAATAGGGTTGATATGGCCTAGCCTAGTCCTAAGATGTTCTAGTCATACAAGCTATAAATGCAATTATGTATATAAAGTGACTGGCACAGTGAAAGCACTAAAGAAAAGTGGTGGCTCTGATGGCCAGGAGTGACCAGATATGAAAATGACCTAGAAACACTAGGAGGGCATTTCCCAGCTCTTCCATTCTCTTAGCCATTAAGTTATCATCTACATTGGCCCAACCATGTTGGCTATGGTTACAACCTGGCAGGCTTGTGGGTTACTACACTTAGCATTTCTGCTGAACAATCTTTGTAAGATTTCCAGATGTTATTTGCATTTATGGACATGAGGATTTTTCTGATACCTGCTATCCTGCTGCACATCCACAGATACCACTTGAGCCAGCTATTCATTACTCACCTGGCCCTTTTTCCACCATAGCTGGCTTTCCCACTATGGTCCACCCACTCTGACAGAGTCCCCTTAGACCACTGAGAGAATGACAAGGTCTTCCATATTAAATTGACTTCTGATGCCAGGATGAGGAACAAGCCCAAATACCTATGATCTATAAGCAAAAACAGCTGTTCAGCCCCAGCTGCACAAGCTTCCTCTGAGGTTTACCCCGGTTTGACCAAGCTCTTTCTGTACCTGTGGCTGAGCCCCTGGGCCCAAGTAGGGGTAGTGCTGAGGGGAGGAAAATCACCAGGAAAACGGAGCAGTTCTGGTGGGGAGGAGGCCCTGCACTTCCCTGCACAATCCTGGAGCTGCAGACATGGGCACAGCCAGGGGCCACTTTGAGGGACATTTCTTGGGACACAGAGACCTTGTTTCCATCTCCTGCAGGTCGGGAGGGCACATGAAATTTGAAGGCAATTTAATTTGCAGAAGTGCAAACTCTAGAGCAAAAAAAAAAATGTGGCAGGACAATATATTGTAGTACCAAGCAATGTGTCTTTAATTCCAACTATTTTCTGCTTCTCTCTCCCCAGACCCACATTCCCATCCCTGCCCTGTTCTAAATTCACTGTCCTTAAGAGAAAGTTGTTACAGTAGAAATGCAAATTTCAAAAGAGACTTTTGAAGCTCCTAGCAAAGACAATGGCTTTGAAACCAAACTTCGGCTCTCAAAAACCTGATTGTTGAATATCAAAAGACCAATTACTGACCAATTACTGGAATAAAATTTTTAACCATAAACAACAGACTCAGACAATCAAAGGATGAGCTAAAGAGGTGTTTTCCCACCCAAGAAGAAAAAAGATTTTGCCAACCCAAGAGAGGTACAGGAGACATTGAGAGAAGAAAGTAACGGAATTGCTCAAGTAGGTTTCTGAGAACAGGCCTGTGCCCTCCACTGAACCCAAACTAGCTTGGAGCAGGGACCCCAAGACATGCACCTGGGGACCCTGAGCTCTGCTCCTGTGGGATTTCCCAGCGCCACCAGGACGTGCCAGAGGAGAAATCGCCGTGGGGGCTGTGTGGGTGGCCTGCAGAGCCTGGCCTCCAAGCGGAGCAGTGAGCAGCAGACATCCTCTGTCGGGGATGTGGAGAACCTACAAGGCTGTAGGCACCCGGAGAGCACAGAGGTTAGCTGGAGAGAGGGGCCTCCTCGCATTAGGATCAGGGGATTGGCAGCAGATGGCAGCAGAGCTCCAGGGACCCACGAACAGATGGGAACACAGGCCAAGGATGCCAAAGGGACACCAGTGTCTGGGCCCTCTGGGGTCATGACTGCCTCGGCAGAATATAGCAGGGCCAGGTGACAAGTGAGGACAGCCAGCACTGAGGCCCTCAGATCTAAGCGCAGCCCAGGGTAGACATGGGAAGGACACAAGTCCTCATCTGACTGAAAAAACCCTGGACTGACTGAAAACAAACTAAATTGATGGAATTACCCTGAATTAACTGGATTCTGTTTCTGTCATCAGTGGGACTGTAGGCTCAAAAGTGAGGCTTAGTTGACTTATAGGAATAATAAAGGTCATTTTTTAGACCCTGAAAAATGTGAGAAGCCGTGCCTAATACAGTTCTTACACAGTTCCCCAGATAGGGTTGCCAGACAGCAAATAAAAATACAGGACATCTAGTTAAATCTGAATTTCAGATTTTAAAAATTAATTTTTGGTATAAATGTGTCCCAGGCAATGTTTGGTATATACTTACATTGAAAATTATTATAGGATTATACTAATACGATTATAGTAAAATTATTATGCTAAAATTATCTGTAATTCAAATAATTTTTACCCCATATGATATCTGAGACATACTTACACTACAGGATTATTTGTTGTTTATCTGAAATTCAAATTAACTGGGCGTCTTATATTTTCTCCGACAACCCTACCCTGGACCCTCCTCTTGTGGGTGAGAGTCCACCACACATCTGTCTCCCTGTGGACTCATATCAGGGTGTAAATACTGGCCAAGGCCTACCTTCTCCTGAAGCCACAGTGTCGAATCTGCCTTTTTAAAAGTCCAAATATAGTCTTCAATCCAGCATTTCCGAATCAGTTCCCAGAGCTCCTGAATAGAGACCACCTCCTCATAGTCCTGCAGACACTGAAACTCATATCGGTAGATTCTACATTCTTTCAATTCATTTGCTAAGATTGTGAGTTTTAAAGGATTCAGGTTTGGTTTTTTTTCTCAACGTCTTTTCCTCAAAGTTTGTCAGAATTTGTCGGAAGGGGTCTTTGCTGGGAACGGAGAAATAATGTCTAAAGATCCTCAGTTTCCCTTCTTCATCCCCTGTGCTAATGAGCTCCACTGTCCTCACATCTGGGCGGGCACACGGTGACTTGTAGGACAGGCTGGAGGAGACAGGCGGTGCTCATGATGCATTTGCAATAAGGAGATAGTGAGCATGGCAGCCAAGAAAAATCATTTGCCTGTTGGAGAGAGTCAAAGACATTTGAAATTTTTAAACTTAGAGTGGGTGGAACATAGGAAATGAGTCCAGGGTAAGCACTGGGGTTACAATTACTGATTGTGACTTGGATAGTAAGCAATATGATGATAAGAAAATACCAATTCACACTCCATAAAACCATATTTGACTGACTCACCTGTTGTGAATTTGATTGTACAAATGTGAACTCTAAAGAGCGGCTCCTACAAGCAAGTAATTTAACAAAATCACAAACTTCTGAGGAATGACCTGCAGTGACAACCAAAGGAAACCTATGGCTGTGAAAATTGAACCATTCAACTGAAAAAGAAGACACTGTTTTCTGCAGAAGGATTGTCACTTTGTGCAGCAATCCTACCATAAGTTAAATGATTATATTTTGGAATACAATAAACACCTAATAAGATCTTCCCAGATTCTTTTAACAGCCTTTGCCACCCCTCTTTGCCCAACAATAGCAACTACTATTACTGTTAATACTGACTGCTTACTCTGAGCCAGGCACTGTGTTCAGTGTGTCTTTAGGTGCTGCCTGTATTAGTTATGGCTTCTTACTTTCTGATCATGTTGGGGTTTTTTAAATCAGTTGTCAAATGCAAATGATCCTTTACTGAAATATTTTCCTGTATAGTTCTTAGCTAGCTGGGCATTCCATGGCACCACTGATGATATCACCTATGATGTCATGAGGGTGACATCTCTCTCTTACAGATCCAGGAGACACTGTTCCTCCCAAGCCCATCTATCCCTGGGGGTGGCAGGAAGCTTGCCAGGAACATGCTTTTCATGGGCAAACCAGCCAATCCAGGGTTTTCTTTTTATAAAATAGGTATTTTAAAAAGAGATTGCCTTCTGTCCTGAAATCCCATAAATGCCAATCAATTCTTCAATTCCATCTAGTACAAATATACATAGCTTTAACTTCATGGAAGCAATGAACACTTCTACAAGAAGTGAAAAGACTAAGATGTGAGTCTTCATCACGAATATCAGTTTTGAGCTACCTACAGCATAGAAATTTGTTCAAATTAGTTGAAAAGGCTTGTGTGATTGCTAGGATATGTCAATGAGATGGGGAGACTGAGAGGATTGGGAACAATGAGTGCTATTCACAGCTGTTCAGTTCACACACACACATATAGACACACACATGCACACACACACACACATATGATTAGCAGCCTCAAAAAATTCAACCCAAAAGGGATAGTTATATTTACCACCAGATTTCTCCTATACATTTTCAGGGCTTTATATAAAAATCATTCCATGTGATCCAAAGAATTACGCTTATTTTTCAAAATGCAAGAACAGATCAAGTTATGAAGAGTTGGATGGGAAGACAGAGAAGTCAGGCTATATGATCTGTAAAGTTTCTGCAGCCTCATACCATCAGGTGCCTGTGTAGAGGCTGTAGCCACCACTCTGGGTGGTCAAGCAGTACACACATAGCATGTCCCACTCATCGCCTAGTCTCTTTGGTCCCAGCCCATATAAACTTTACATCACTAATCCTAAATTACTCTACCTACAATATTGGACCCCAGACCTTGGATTCTGGCAAATACCAGGGAAAGTTAAGTTATGAACCAGCAAAGAGTACAAAAAGTAATTTGAGAGGACCAACTCTCAGATGTGATTGACATTTTTGAACCAACAAAACTATAATCAACTATCTAATATTCTGAGGGCATTTTACTACATACAATTTCAGTCTTGACTGTTCAAAAGCAGTATTTTCTATAGAAATTTAGGCTATTAAAATCTAGAAAATCAAGTTATGCAAAGAAACTGTAATGGATTAAGTCTCTCCGATTCATTAAGATTCTGTTAGAGTCACTGAGAGTATGTTTAAAAAATACTTGTTGGTTGCCTGTACTGTGCAAGGTTCTACGATAGATGCCAAGAGGAGATAAAATGATAGATAATATAAAGTTGAGGAGTTCAGGGAAGTGGAAACAGGTTGTGTACAAATAACCACACTTCAAGGCAGGACAGGAGTCTGAAGGCTCCTAGAGCTTAATGCAGAACCACCACAGCAAAAACAAGCTTCTTGCAGAAGACATTTGAGATGAGCCTGGAGAATGCACAGGTAGGAATGAGGGCAAGGGAATAATACCAAACAAGACAAGGCCTAGGTGAAGGCCTGGAGGTAGGAAAGTACATGAACATTAGACAAACAGGAAGTTGTTAAGAGCAGTAGAACTCAACAGAGTGCTCCACAGACATGCAAGCGCCAAGTACTTTTTACACAGGTTTAACATTTACACAGGTTTGAATTAGCTAGGAGCAACAGCATTGTAGGTTGTTTCATCTTAAATAATACCGAGATTCGTTCACCATTTCAGAAAATCACTACCCTGATAGTAATATTGCTCACAATGTTTGAACCTTGAATGCAACACAGCCATGTCTGGCTATGCTTAGAGCTACTGCTTTAACAGTCATTTCCTGTTTAGAGGCAGGCACCTGCTTATTCTACTGTGTCTTCTATAGGAATCATATCTGAGCATTTACATATTGAAATGCATATTATTTTAAAATAAATTATCTTCTTTGTCTATTAATATTACAGAAGAGGGCTGGTTGTACTGATTTTCTTTTTATTGAGGTATAATTGACATACAGCATTAGTTTCAGGTATACAACATGATCCAATATTTGTGTACACTGCGAAACGAGCACCATGCTAGGTCTGTTAGTTACTATCTGTCTCCACACATGGTTACAAATTTCTTTCTGGTGATGAGAACTTTTCAGATTTACTCTCTTAGCAACTTTCAGATATGCAATATAATATTATTAACTGTAGTCACCATGCTGTACATTACATCCGCATGACTTATTTTATAACTGGATGTATTAATTTCTAAAGATATGTTTATATCAGAAAATGACCACAAAATTAGTGACTTGATAATATATATATGAATGTGAAAAATAAGGGAGGAGAAGGCATCAAAAAGAGAGTTTGAGCTCATGTCCTACAATAAAAAATATTTTTCAGGAATGGAAAGAGAAAATTTAATTTTGATGCTTCATCCTTTGAATATTTTTTTTAATCTTTAAAATATGGGCAATATTGAGATTTCAGGCCTTCAATGACAGAATTTTAGAGCAGGAGAGGCTCCTGGAGATCATCCAGTCAGGTCCAAACCCCTTGTTTTATAGATGAGGCAACTGCAGCCCGGAAAGGACATGGGACTTGAACACAGAGATCATCAGGCGCTTTTAAAACACTTATCTTATTAACAGTTTTTCTGCAAACAACAAGAAGTCAACATTTAAAGGCTTCTCCATTTGAGTTTTCAAGCTCTGAGAGTCACTGTTTCTGGTATATATGGTCCATCACAGTCACATGTGGGAGGCGTTAACGGTTCACGTCTGTCACAAAGCTAGTGTAGAGGCTAAGTGGCAAAACAGTAGTGAAGGAACTTCAAAAAATACACACAGCCTGACACTCATAAAACATGTCACCAGTAATAATCAGCAACAAAATAATCTGAGGCAAAGAAATACACATGGATGACGCTTACAGACTTTTATCTTTGTACATGACAGAAAGCACACGTTAAGTGTTTTTAAAATCACATTTTGGATGATTAGAATTATTTTTCCTCAAAAGGTTGTTGAAGATGAAGTCAGCATTACTAATATATTGGAAAATGATCCTATAAATATTTCTCTGTATTCTGGCAGGACCAAACTGTCTCTACTAAATGACAATGGCCTGTTGTCTAATTTAAATGGTAACATCTCAAGTGTTTAAACACCCCACCCAGATGGGTAAAGAAAAAAGTTAATTGATACAATTCCATGATACTTGATCACAAAATGACTTAATGACTGACTTCACTTTTTCACTTTTTGGCAGTTTGGTCTCATCATTCAACACAGATTTATTGAGAACCTTCCACGTGTCAGACTGTATGTGAGGTACTGAGTATGACAATGGCCAATAAAATAGACATGGTTCCCCCACACTCACAGGACTATAGAGGAGACAATAAAATGGATAATGACAGGACCATGTGTAGGTCACCCGAGGGACTGGGAAACCAAGCACATAGTATCTGCAGGAAGACACCCACGTAGACTAGAACACAATGGGCCTGGGGCAACCCTTACCTCCCAGTCCAAGTTGCAGGTAAGGGCCAGAGGCCCCCATCAGACCCTCTTATAGGGAGAGTGACCTTTAAATAGGGCCTTAAGGGATGAGAAAGGTTTAAATTTCCTGAGGAAAGGGAAGAGCCATCCAGGAGAAGGGAACTGAGTGGACAGATGTGGAGGGACAGAAGTGACCTGCTGCTCCAAGGAGATCAAACTCAGGGAGCAAAGGGCAAGAGATGCTGGGGAAGTCAGCCAGGTCCAGGGCCCTGCCAAGGACTCCTGTGCTAGTATTTGTGCCCACTCTACATCACTGACTTGAGCACTATTCTCCTGATAACGTGTGCTGGAAGAGGACTCTGACGGAGTTAAATGTCCCTCTGCTGGCTCAACGAGGCAAGGCAGTACAGTAGTGAGGACTAGGGGCTTCCAGCTCCACAAAGATCTGAGTTTGAATTCTCTGCTCTATCCATGTGTGGCTATGTGACTCCTCATCTCTACCTTTAGACTGATACTTAACAGAATAATTCAGGAATAGCCTCTGAATGCACAGCCACTTGACACCTTCTCTCACTGAAGGAACACCCCTTCTGAAGAGCTGCAGAGGCCAAGGGGAAGGGCTGGGGTGGAGAAAGGGAAGATAATGCTGGATGTTGACAGCATTACGTAAGATCCTCGTAAAGCCCTTAGCCCAGTGCCTGGCACTCAGAAAGCCAGTTCAATAATTAGAACTCATTGTCATTCAAGGCTGCCACCAGGGAATGGGGTAACAGGATGAGGAAAATAAGAAAGTCAATGGCTCTACTCTGACCTCCTGTGAAGTGTGTCACAGAAAGGGCATCAGCTGACCAACGTAGGCGTGGGGCATGGGAGTCAGGAGGACTGGCTGTTAAGCAGCTGTCATCTGTAAGCAGGGTGGGGACAGAGGAACAGAACTGTGAGCTTTCCACAGGGGTGCTTTGGCACCCCCCACGAGGGAGGCCCCAGCTCACAGCGCACACAGGAGCTGCAGCTGCAGACCGCTGAGGCGGGCCACAGAGACGTGCTCGCTGCAGAGGCTGAATATGCTCCAAGTACTTGACCTCTCAGGCGAGGCTGGGTTCCCAGCAGCAGCCCCTCCTCCTCTGCCCACAGCCACCTCACTCAGCTCCCCAGCTTAGGCAGCTGTGCTCAGTGACCACGTGACCGTGGGGCCACCCTGCTGCGCCTGCCCTCAGCTTCCTCCTTGGGCTGCAGTGGTGGCAGCTACAGGGCACCCCTTGCACTGCAGCCCTCACCCCCACCTTACTCTAGCTAACAAATGGGAGTTTCTTATTCCCTCAGCAGTAGCCATTCTCTGCCTCTTTCTCTAGCTCAGTGAGGAATAGTAACAGTAATTCTAATGGCAACTGTGCACCAGGTACTCTTCTCTGTTCTTTACATACATTATCTCTCAATCCTCACACAGCTTTATGTACGTATGATTAATCCCATCCCCATTTTACAGATGAGCAATTGAGGCACAGATTGCTCAAGCAAGAGGCCCAAGAACACACAGCTAGTAAACAGCAGAGCCAGAATTGAAAATGCAGGTGGGCCAAGTCCAGATCCACAGCCCTTCCCGTTGGCCTCCGCTGTTCCCAGGAGGGGTGTTCTTTCAGCGATAGAAGATGTCCAAGTGGCTGAGCATTCATAGGCTGTTCCTGGATTTATTTTACTTTGTCAGCCTAAAGAACTGTTTGTTTGAAAGCTAGCAGTTGTTCTTATTAGGAGCTTTCAGCACCTAAAAACACACTCATTGAATACCGATTCACTCAGGGAATAAAATCATAACTGGGCATGTGCAACTGAGTTATATCATCTGCCTGGCCATACCGAACACCTTTGGGATGAGTAGGATTAGTTGCCTTCTTTTAGAAGCAGTCATCCTGCTGCTGCTGATTTTTGTTTTACCCACTTTACATGTGCTGAGAAATGCAACCATAGAGAACTCATGCCCTCACGTTCACCCTATTCACTCACACACACCCACCACACCCACAGAAAGAAGCTCAAATATCTATCTCCGCATACAGAGATCATATCCATTCATCAAAACTCACCCTGGGCCCCACATACTTAGTACCCAAAGGCACACAAAGGGTATAAGCCCTGGGCAAGAAGGGATAAATTCCGAAAAGCAGGCAGAGCCAGACATATACAAATGTATATACACAGCAGGCACCTGGTAATTAATAATAATAATAGCTAATATTTATCAGGGCTTACTCTATGCCAAGCACTATGCTAAAATGTCTTTGTTTTTCATGCTTTTTCTTAGTTAATCCTCTCAACTGCCTGTAAGACACATTTTATTATTGTTGTTGTTATTATTATTATTATTGACCCACAGAGTTAACATAACTTGCCCAAGGCTACATAGCAGATAGCAGTGGGGCTCTCCAACTGTTCCTAGAACAGAGGGAGATCCCACATGATTGTTCTCACCTCCCATAGATGCCTTGTATCTTAAATATCTCATGTCCAAAGCAGAACTCTTGATTCCCCTCAAAGCTTGCTGCCCCTGCCCCAAAAAGGTTTCCCATCTCAGTGACTAGCCCTCACGAGCTGTCTAGTTTCCTAAAGCCAAAAACAAGGACATATCCTCAATTCCTCTTTTCTTTCAACACCCACATTCCTCAGCAAATTCTCAGTCCACCCAAAGCCCTTCATCTCTACTGCTGCCATCCTCCTCCGAGACCCCATCACCTCTTGCTTGGACCATTGCAATGGCCTATAACAAGTGTCCCTGCCCCAGTGCTTGCTCCCCTACATTACTGTCCACATATCAGACTGACTTTGACCTTTCAAAAATAACAGTCAAATCATCGCACTCCTCTGCTTAAAATCCTTCACTGGCCCCTCCACTGCCCTCAACAGAAGCCACCCTAACATTCTGTCCTACAAAGCCCAGATATGAAGTGGCCCAGCGTTCACTTCCCGCTTCATCTGGTACAACTACCCTGCAGCCCACCACAGTCTGGCCACACCAGCCTTCTTTCCCTTCCTAACTCACTCAACTTTGTTTCCGGCTTAGGACCTGTATTACCTTAGCTGTCCCCTCTGCTTGGAATGTCCTTTCTTCTGATCCCCACATGGCTGTCTCCTCCTTGTCCATGAGCTCTTCCTGGAGATATTAGCAGAAATGGCAACTGGTCATGCAAAAGTTCAGGCTCCCTCTCCCAGAGTGTGGGTTAGCTTTCTATCCCCACCTGATTCCCAGTAGGGCACTGTGGGCCCCGAGTGGCCACGTTCTTGTCAAATGAACGGGAGTGGAAGTGATCTATATCACTACCAGGCTGAGACTTTATAGGAACACATGTATCCTTTCTTCTTTCTCTAGGCCAAAAGGAAAGGACTCTAGGGCCCTAGGGGATGACCAAGATGGGAAAAGCCTGTGTCTTCAAATCACCACAGGGATGAAAACCACTTGTTACCTCTCTAGAAACCCCATACTGACTGTCCCATGCATAAAAAATAAATTTCATCTGAGAAGCCACTGGGATGGGATTTATTTGTTAAAGCAGCTAGAGCTAATCTAACACAGGGACATAATCCCTGACCCCTCAACTTCAATAGCCACCCTGTCACCTTATCATATCACTCTGCATGGCATTGATCATTATTTGAGATGTTACTTGTTTCTTTGTTTTCTGCCTTCCTCAACTGGATTATCATGTCTATGGGAGCCATGGCCTATGTGTCAATCTCACTCCTAAATCCCCAGAACCCAGAACAGTGCCTGGTGCAGATCAAGCAACCAATAAATATTCCTGAATGAATGAATGAATGAATGAGTAAATGAAAATGCTCAATAAATATTGAATTGAAGAAGAGGTATGGATTTTAATGCACAGGACACAGGATAAAGCACTGAAGAAGTGCGTACTTTGGGTAAGATAACTTCTTACATACAAACACAAATAATGATATGGCCCATATTAGGCATTCAATAAGTTTTGGCTGAATATGTGATTAATAATGAGCTGATGATGTATGTGGAAGCTCTTTGTAAAACACACTGTACAGATGGATCATTCATATTCCCTAATCTGATTTATTCTCCTTAAAGTCATTCCATCAGGGTCAGTAATTACTTGGCACCTTCGATCTATGGGAGAAAAAGGAGGGCAAGCTCTCTGCCCTCCAAAGCTTCTATCTTCTTAAGGAGACTGGAAGAAAGTGAGTGAAATAAGCAAGAAACCTTTGCAAATGCAGAGTAATATCGATAAGGAAATTCTAACCTGGGGTGGCTCTTAGGGGGACACTCTTGCAGGAAGGGATGGGCACAGAATGGGAGAAATGAGGGAAGACATTCCAAAACTGAGGGATCACATTCACTAATGCCAGGCTGTTCAGCTGAAGCCCAGTGAAAAGGCCGGGGGTCTCCTGACATTTTACTGGAGAACAGAGTCTAAACTGGAACCTGCCGCAGCATTGTTAAAATTGAATTTCATATCCTTTAAGGCAAATCCTTCCAAGATTTCAAACTCCAAATTTTCATTTGCTTTGGAAGTGACAAACACTTGCTTGCACTTCTCAGTAAACTCCTCATGATAGAAACGATCAAAGTCATGCTTTGGAGTCTTTATAGATAAAAAGTAAGTATTAATATCTTAAGACATGTACCTTCACATTGTCTTTTGCACATGATTATCATAAATGCCCAGAAAAGTATTTTCCCTTCCGTGTCACCTTCTATGTCAGCACCTTATTTCACAGCCCATTATATATTTTAATGAAAGCAAACAAGAAGCAAGCAATTTAATGTTCCTAATGCTTTTTGTACATAAAACCCTACTGAGGATCCCAAGCTACTTCACAGCCTCAGAATAACAAGGGCAAAAAAAAAAATGTATTTGCTACATATACCCCCTTGCCTTTTTAGATTGTTAGCAAGTATGAAATTACCTCATTCAATCTTGTGGCATATTGTGTGTGTGTCCATCCATGGCAGGGGTTGGGGCGTGAGGTGTAGTTTTAGGATAAGATGCCCTAATACAATGGGAACACTGCAACTCTGCCACTGGGCAAGTCCCTTGAACTCTCTGGGAAAATAAGGGGCTGCACCAGACAATCGGTTCTCTAAGATTCCTTCCAGTTTCAATTTACTGTGACTCTAAACACATTGCCCAAGGTCAGGGTGTTCTGGATTGTCAAAATGCCCTCCTGTCTCTGAAGACACCTGTATCGCCCAGGGTTTTGTTCTGTCTTGTTTTGTTAATGTAGGGAGGCTCTTAATCAGGAAAATGAACACCAGGGCTGTACCTCTATAGTTAACTAGGCTGCCCTGTGGTTCAGGTTAGGGCCAGCATAACCTTTTTTGGGTCACTGAAACTTTTGAGAATCTGATCAAAGGCACCGTCCTTCTTCCTACCCCCCAAAACACACTTAAGTATGTAAACATTCAAGTGTTCATTTAAAAAACATCTGTTCACTTAAGTAAACATTTAAGGGTATCATAGATGGCTCCCAAAATCTGTTCAGGTGAAGAATCTCTGCCATACTCTGCCATCACCCTTCCCTTTTTAACCTGCACATGCCCATGAGACACTATTTTCAAAAATAAATGCAATATTTCATTTAGAGGCAATATTGTGTCCGGCAGTTTTTCTCAAACTTTAATATGCTTGCCACCCTCCTGATCATCTTATTAAAATGCAGATTCTGACTCAGTAGACCTGGAATGCATTTCTAACAAGCCCCTAGGTAATACTGAGGCTACTGGTCCACGGATTACTCTGAGTAGTAAGGGTGAAGGAAAATGGGTGCAGACTTTGGAGTCAAAAAGATCTGGGTTCAGATTGTAGAATGATCCTTCACTAGTCATATGACATTAGATAAGTCATTTAATTGCTATACAGCAGACTCATTTGCTCATCTGTAAAACAGGAATCATCGGACGTACCTTGCAGGGCTAAGCCTTGAAGATTAAATGTGATAACATGCAAAAGCACTGGACTGTAAATAAAAGTTCTTTTCCCTTTAGATCAAGGTTCCTCATCCTTGATATTGACATTTGGGTTGGAAAATTCCTTGTCATGGGGGGCTGTCCTGTGCACTATGGGGTGTTAGCTATACCCTTGACATCTACCCATTAGGTGCCACAAGCATTCCCTGAACTGTGACACCACAGATGTCTTCAGACATGACCAAATGTCCTTGGGAGCAAAACTGGCCCTGGTGGAAAACCTCTGCTGTACATCTACACATTAATTGCCAGATATTTTAGGTCTTCTCCAAGCTCCTTAACTTCCTAAATAATCCTCCAGGATCCATTATTTGCTCCCATTTTCAGTTTCAACCATTTTCAAATAGAGAAACTTTAAATGCTTAAGGAATATTTTCAATATTTAAAAACTCTTTTTAAAGGAAAACATACAAGACACCCAAACACATTAGGATTGTGTTGATAAAAGACGTAGCTCTTCCCATATTTACTGATTTATATTTTCAGTCATTAAAGTGGCTGGGTAAAGTTTTTGTATCGCAATTGACCAGTCCTTGAAAACCAGCTCACCCAACCCGTGGAGATCTCTGTAAAATCTGACAGGGAGCCCTCTGCTAATAATCTTGGCCTTAAGCTTTCCAATCCTCAGTTTTTCCTTCTCCTTCAGCAGAGAACCTACAGTTAGCCTCTCCGCCTCTTCCCCATCTAAAGTCTTCAGCAGCGTAGTTCCAGACCTAAAGTAAAAATACTGAAATTGAGATTCATGCAGAAATGGTGCTTGGATGATCTCAAATTGTTAGACTGCAGTTGGAATTCTCCAGGACCCAAGGCTAACCATTTTTTTGCAGCAACAAAGAGATTCTGTTCTACTGTGGATACATTTGAGAAGTCAGTTGCTTTGGAGAACATGAACAGTGAGGAGTCAGGAAGAAAGTCTCCCCATGTCTGACCCAGCATGCAAATGAAACAGACAGACAGCAACTGTTCACATAGTTGAGACAGAGCTTTAAGATGCTGGGAGTGGAGACAAGAAAGCTGTCCAAACAGGTTAGAGGGCAAAGGCGCCCGGGCCTTCAGTGCTGACCGCCTCAGGTCCACAGCTTTGAAATATGTGCTGGAACTGAGAGTTCCTTAAGCTGAGGGAAGATGCAGTTTGCCAAAAAGTCTCTCCTTGAAAATGTTTCAGAGTCGAGATGTAAGGCTGAATGGGTTTCTGGTATGTGAAAACAAATTGGGCATCCCTGTCTTCATTTTCATTTGCCTTCTGGCCATTTCACTTTGCTCTGGGATCTCACTGCCCACACTTAAAATCTAATTTTCATCCTGACCCAGCCACTGACCCTACTGCTTCTACGGCTTCCTCCTCATTATGCTTGCTACAAATAGATTGAAATCTTTCCCCAAAGTGGTTCCTTTCTTGACATTTGAAGGTGAGAGATGCCAACCAACGAACAGATCAGAGTAGAAAAACAATCTCACTGAAGACTGAAAAAGAAAAAAAATACATTCATTTTAGGGTTACAGAATACTCATGTCTCCCATGGTGTCCCCAAAGCTTTTGCTGCAGAGCTGAGAACTGTGAAGTGACTGGACACTGGACATAAGGCCTTCCCTTTTCCCCAGCCTCCCAGTCTACCTTTCCAGTGTTCCTGCAGCCAGCTGCCACTTATGTTCCCTGTGAACTTGGAAATTATGCAAGGGGACTTACTGAGACTATGAGAAGGAAGACAAGTCCAGAAAGAAGCCTAATATATCTAGGAGCAGAATAGGCCGGGACCCATGACTTTGATCAGAAGCAAGAATGAAAATAGGCATAAAGGACAGGACAAGAGGTACAAATCAAAGTATCTTGAGGTCCAAGACCAGGAATGGCATCTGACAGGCAAGGAAGTCTGGAGCTAAGAACCTGATGGAGTGCTGTGATTTTTTTTTTTACCTTAAGTTGTGCAGGCTCATATGAACATTCCGTTCACCTACGATACACTGGGGGTTCAGTTTCACTGAGTTAATGGACATACACCTGCCCTCTAATAGTGATGCAGCTATGTGTGCACCCTGCTCAGAAGCAAGAAATGAAATGAAAACTACCTAGTTGTATGAGCTTTTTCTTGATGCAACACATTTCCATACCAAATGTTGCTTTTTTGGTTACATTTTTTGCTTTCACCTACGAAGAAACATTGTGTTACCCTGTACAGGGCAATTTTTCATTAAGATCACTTGACAAGAATATAATAATTTTTTTTAAGTATTAACTCTTTTGCATCTAATTGCCACAATAACTCAATGATAGACAGTATTACCACTCTGCTTTCCAGATGAAGAAACAGAAATTCAGACAGGATTAGTAACATGTTCAAAGCCACTTGACTGGAAAGTGGAGAGCTGGGATCTAAACACAGGTTAGCCTGACTCAAGAACACATACATTATACTGCTGCCATATTATAGAAATAAGACTCTTAGTTATGAAGATGCTGTAAGTTAGTGGGTAGGAAACACTTATCCAATAAGTGATACTGTAATAAGTGGGTAGCACTTGAAAAAAAAATTAATTTAAGCCATAATCTCACACTATTATACCCCCCAAAAAATTCTAAAAGATGACCACATAGGCATTATGGGTGCTTTATTAATAGACTGCTCTCTTGTCATGTAGGAGGTAGAATTAGATTATCAGCCCTTTCAAATATCTGCCTCTCTTATTCCCATGTGATGAGAGGTCATTTCTATCTTGGTCTCTACCATGTTCCTAACACCTAGTACAATGACTGGCTGAGAGCAGGTGACAGGAAAATATTTGTTGAATGAAGGACTTTAGTGTAATTTTTTTAATGAAAAGTTTCCATAACTAAATACTTATCAAACCTGGAAAGGACTTCCAAACTTAAAAGCTGCAGAAGAAATCACAAAAGAATAGATTGACAGATAATTACATTTTTTAAAGATTTCAAAGGCAAACAATGGACTATAAAAAAAAGTTACCACAAATTTACCTTTATTCTAAGAAAAATACTGATTTCCTAACAGATGTGAAGGTAAAATAAACAAATAGAAAAAATATATATAAAAGTACATATAAAAGCATATGCAACCTTTCTAGAATTCAAAGAAATTTAAAAATAAAAAAATGATACAGATTTTTTTAAGTATAGAGATCTAGACATTGCTGAACCTTATATTTCACAGCTATAAAATGGTATATTGGTAACTTTGGAAAGCTATTAAAGATTTATTTGGAAAGTAAATGGCACTATATTTCAAATATATTAAAATATATGTAATTTTTGACTCAATAATTCTACTTTTTGGGAATCACTCCAAGGAACTAATTGAAATAGTGAAAAACTACAGCCATTAAGATGTTCATGGCATTCTTTATGATAGGAAAAAATAGTAAAAGCAAGCAAGCAAACTAAGTGGTCTTCATTACAGGAATAACTAAGAGGAAACAATACAATGATTGACGGTGGGTTGTGCATCTATTTAAAAGAGTTATAGACTTCTTCTTCCAGCAATGCCAACATAACAGGGACTAGACTTACCTACCCTCTTAGACAACTGGACAACATATATGAAATAGCTGTTTTTCAGACATTAAACATCATGTAATGGAGTGTGATCCCTGAGGGAAGTAAACTATAGTACTGTCAAAAAACTAGACTTCAGAACAAGGAGTGTTACTAGGAATAGGGAGTGATATTAAATAATAACAAAGTAGTCAGTCCACCAAGAAGATATAACAATCCTAAGAGTGTATGCAGCTAACAACAGAGCTTTAAAATATACAAAGCAAAAACTGGCAGAAAAGAAAAGAGAAACAGACAAACTGGTAATATAGGTAAACTATGAGATTTCAACATTCCTATCTCAGTAATCGATAGTTCAAGTAGACAGAACATCAGCAAGGGTAAAGACCTGGATGACACTATCAAGCAATTTGGCATTTTCTGAACATTCCACCCA